ACATTGATTCCATCCCAAACTATTCATCTTAGCTAATTAAGGTAATTTCATCTCTGGCCAACAGTTGGTTCAGGGCTAGGCAAGACTGAACAGTTTTGGGCAGTGAGACTCAAAGAAGCTTCCTCAGGATTTTTGGGAAAAAGAAGTAAGTTTCTCCCACTTGAACAAGAAAATACATGCTCCTTATGTGCCATGTGCCACCTGTGTCTGGTGGCCATCCTATGATTACAAGGGAAACGTGGATCTCAGGATAAAAAGACTGAAGAGCTTCATCCCTCATGACATCACTAAGATGCTGAATCAATCAGCCCTGGAGACTGCTCTGCCCTAGGACCTACTTTTATGGAGAAAATAAATAATAATTTTATGAACACTCAACCCTGTTTGAATCAAGTTTCTGTCTCTTTCACCCAAAATCTCCTTAGCTTAGCCAATGTATTCCTAACATTCCTAACATTGCTGAGCTAACCTGCCCATCCCCAGGCCTTCCAAGAGTGGGAGGTGAGGTATAGGAGCCAGGGAAAGGTGAAACCAGAGGAAGTCTTCTAGCACAAAAATGATAAACCATCTAAAAAGACCATAAGAACCTTTAAATTATTCATTTGTCACATAAAAGTCCTCATGCCTGGTACTAATCCATCATGTCCTTGTCCTACACCCAAAGTATGAGTAAGAAGGTCTTTGAATGCCCTCTAGAAGGTAGGTGGTGCCACTCACAAAAGATAGGATGGTGCTAGAGCTCATTCTTAAGGAGCTGACAGCCTAACAGAAAAAAAGGCTGTAATTCAAAATTGACTGTATTACTCATCACAAGAAAAGTGCAGATACAGTGCTATATATCAATGAAGGATATCAATGAAGAGACATTTTTTTAGTTGGAAGAGATCAGTAAAAGCCTCACAGAGAAGGTGCTTTTTGAGTTGAGTCTTTGTATAGCTAGAATTTGGATCTGAGAAGATGGGAAGAACATTCCAGATGGAAGGAAGGAATCACAAGAATGAAAAGCAATATCTGGGAAACTGTGAGATTCCTAAATCCTGGAAGATATTCAAAATGTGAACCAGCACTGGCCAAGTAAGCAGTGACTAGTCTGCAGGGCTGAAGCAAGTCCTAGAGACCCTCTGTCAAGACATGCATAAACCCTTACGTTACTTGGTTATGGGAATTGGGTGGACGAGGAGAGAGACTGGGATAGCTGGGGCTTTAGGCAGATGGCACTTAGGGGTTCAAGAGGCTATTTAGCAAGAGATAGAGAAGAATTTCCGTATTTTAACAACCAGTGTGGCTGGAGACCAGTGAGAACCAGTTCTTACTAATGAGAACCGGCTAGGAAATCAACCCTACCTACAGGCAACAGTGAAAAGTTCCACTTCACTAGAGTTCACAGTGAGTGAAAGGAAATAATGAAAAAAATAGCTGGAATTAGGCCACAAAGGAGTTTGAATTCCAAGATAAAGAATTTGGATTAAAAAATTAAGTAATACAGATCCACTGATAATATTTTGATGAGACTTTCAGATCACAATGGATTGAACATGTATCTGACATGGCATGGCTTCCTTGGAGTAGAAATTTAGCATATATGTGACAACTTGCTGTGGGTCATTGTGAAAGAGAAAATTTCTCAGGTCTGTACAATAAAGACCTAAAAAAACTGTGAGGGAATACTTTAATGGCTTCCAACCATAAGCATGCAAGATGTCTAGAAGAAAATAAAGAGAAATGTAAATGTGTGCAGACAATGGCAGAAAGCAAACGGTTAACTCCCACCAGCAAGCACAGGGACTCCCTGCTCCAAGAAGCCATCCCACAGAACACCTGAGAGAGCTGAGGGCCAGGGATTAGGGCAGAGGCAGCAGGAAGTGAGAGGCGCTCAAAGGGATAACAATAATGACCCTCCATATTTGCAAAGTGCCATTTACAAGGCACACTTTCATTTAATCCACACGGCAATAGTGTGAGGAGTAATTAACATTTCTATAACACTACACCATTGAAAGAGCCCTTTTATATTCATTGTCTCCTTAATTCTCCCCCCTTACACCTGAGAAAACTCAAGCCATTAGAAAACAGCTTATCAAGCAGGGGAGAGAACTAGAACTCAAACTCAGGCCTTTAGATTCCTTGTCCAGCATTTCCATTTACCCTAGTGTGGCCTCAGGGACTCTGGGGTTATTCGTTAATCTTACAAATGTGGTCTCAGTGCTCCAGGCAGCAGCTGTAGATTGTGAGAGAAACCTAAGTATCTCCCCGTACAGTTCTTCAAGAGGTAAACCTTCTATCCCAGGACTTAAATAGAAAGAGACTCACCCTAGAGATCAGGTGCACACCTCCTGGTGCAGAGGGCTCAAGCGGTTTCTGGAAAGATCCCATCCCAACCCTGTTTTGTTCATCAAATTAGATTTGGGAATCCAGAAAAGCAAGAATCATGACTTTTTGAAATCTTCATATCCTTGGACCAGGATCTGGTACTTAGCAAACACTTGTTGAATAACAATGAATATATAAGTGAATATATATGTAATACCCTTGGAAATATCTTGAGATTCCCCCTCTGCCCAGAAAAACAATACAAAGAAAAACAATACAAAGAAAAACAATACAAAGAAAAACAATACAAACAATTTGTGAAGCAACAAGTTATTTAAAGTCATGAGTTTTTATTTTGTTTATTGAGACAGGGTTTCCATCTGTTGCCAGGGTGCAGTGGCATGATCACAGCCCACTGCACCTTCAACCACCAGTGCTCAAGCGATCCTCCCACCTCAGCCTCCCGAAGAGCTGGAACTTGAGGCGCACTCCACCACATCCGGCTAATTTTTTAATGTTTATAAAGATGAGGTCTCACCATGTTGCCCAGGCTGGTCTTGAACTACTGGGTTCAAGCAATCTGCCCACTTCGGCCTCCCAAAGTACTGGGATTACCGGTGTGAGCCACTGTATCCAGCTTCTTAACCTCCTTCATGCCCTCTCCACTTAAACTGGAATCATTTGTCATATAAAAGTCCTCATGCTTGGATTTTGGCATCATTTATAAGGGCTCTGCCTACAACATGTTAAACTCACTGAAAAATTAGACTATACCAATAATTTCTTATTTCCCAGCTCTCTCCATCCCTCTTTTCCAATTATCTTGTTCCTCGATTGCGTGGCGCCTTCCTGCCCACCCACCTTCTGTGTTCTTGCTCCTTCCTTCTCTGTCCTGTGTGCAGTGGCAATCAAGTGAATTCCTTTCTCACCCACACCCTCAACTCCTTCACCCCTTTGTCCTCGGTTACACCCATGCAGACACCCCTAACCCTAAATTCATTCCACAGCCTGTTCTCTTGGATCTGATGACTAAACTCTGAAGCACACCTGGAAGAAGCCATACAGCCACACAAATCACACAACCGTGTGGACTGGAGTCACCACAAAATGATAGTTTCCTCTCAGCCATTCTGTATCAGATCCTCTTTCCATCTCCTCTGAGACCACACGACCTCCTCAAGTCCCCTACCCAATGCTTCTGCCCTCCATGCCCCCTACCCAAAGCCTACACTTACAGATGCCTTACTTCCTGCCTCATGGCATCAAAAACAGCATGGGAAAGGATGCCCCTCTGCAGCTCGCCCAAACCGTCAAGCTATCTACAGCCTCCCTCCTGTTCTTCTCCTTCTCCACCTCTGTGGAGTAACTCCCTTTGGGGTCTTGCTTTATGGTTCTTATTCTTTCAATCTGGAATGTTTGATGTCTCATTCTGCTAACTCCTCCTCCACAGCTTGTAAACCTATATACTTTTGAATCTACCCTTGACCCTAGATCCCCTTTGGCTGCCACTTTCTCTTTTTCTTCATATTCAATTTGATCAAATGACTGATCCACACCCGCATCTCTACTCTTCAAATCCCTTTCCTCAGTCCACTGCCATCTTTCTTCCTACCACCACGTTAAAACTGCTCCGGCAAAGGTCTCCAAGGATATGACTGCCAATCCGTGGACATATCTCAGCCTTCATCATACTCTGCCTCGCTGAAGTCTTTCACTTTGTTGACCACTCCCTCTATCTTGGAAGTGTCTCTTCACGGGCTTTGATGGCACCATAGAGGCCTCCTCCTGCTTCCCTGGTCATCTCTTCTTTCTTCTATGCTGGATCACCTTCCTCCACTTGCTCTGTAAATATTGTTTATTCACCTAGGCTGAGCTGGTCGAGCAGCGTCTGAACAGAGACTTCATCTGTCTCATTAACTACTACAGCCTCCATGTTTAGACAGCTCTACACACGTGAAGACTCTTCTTACGTATTGTCTGCTGAATGAATGAGTGGATGTTGGAAATACTAGAGTGAACAGGGCATCATCTCTGCCCTCAAGCAGCTTACAGTCCAGTGAGGAAGATGATTAAGTAGACATAAAATAACAGTAGAGTGTCATAGGAATTATGATACAAGCAGCTATGGGAGAACATGAGATAGATTCTGGACATGCTCAATTCCTCCAGCACCAAATTGTTCTGCTTACCTCAGACTCAATTTGATCAATATCAAAACATCACCTTCCCTTAAGCCCCCCAAAATGTTATTCAGTTTACATTCTCTACCTTGGGGAAGGTACCACCACCACGGGGCTATCAAGCTAGAGTCCTAGGATTCACCCTGATTCCTCCTTTCCTCTGATGCTCCACAACTGAACAGTGGCCAAGTTAGGTTGGTTTTGCCTTTTCAGTATTTGGCAATTCCCTCTTCCCCTCTCCATGGCCATCTCACCTTGGTTATTGCAACAATATTCTAATATTTTTTGCTTCTAGTCTTTCTTCTTTCTCGAACATGTTTTCTATACTTCCAAAGTGAAGGGGATCACATCACTGTCCTGCTTAAAAATCTTCAGTGTTCGTTAGGCCGGGCGCAGTGGCTCACGCCTATAATCCCAGCACTTTGGGAGGCCGAGACGGGTGGATCACGAGGTCAAGAGATCGAGATCATCCTGGTCAACATGGTGAAACCCCGTCTCTACTAAAAATACAAAAACTAGCTGGGCATGTTGGCGCACGCCTGTAGTCCCAGCTACTCGGGAGGTTGAGGCAGGAGAATTGCTTGAACCCAGGAGACGGAGGTTGCAGTGAGCCAAGATCACGCCATTGCTCTCCAGCCTGGGTAACGAGCAAAACTCCGTCTCAAAAAAAAAGAAAAATCTTCAGTGTTCCTTGATATATAACCCTCGGTTGCAATCGAGACTTCCAAGTATATCTCCTAATGAGCTGACCCTTGTCTCTCCCATCTCATATCCCATAGCTTCTGCCTCACATTTACCATCACCGCATACCCTAAAGTCTGGTTCTACTGAACCACCTGCAAGTAATGACAACACACAATGTTTCATCCCATCTTACTTCTGCACAAGCCATTATGTAAAACTTCCTCTGAAGATACTGCTGTAAGTCTTAAGCATTTTACATGAATTAACTCTTATTCCTCACAACAACTACTATTCTCCCATTTTACAGATGAGGAAACTGAGACACAGAGCCAAGAAATAACTTGCTAGATTTCATATAGCTAGTATGTTGTGACACTGGGAATTTGAACCCCAGTCTTGTGGCAGTGCCTGTGGCTGTAAATACTGTGCTATCCTGCCCGAGTTCACCTTGTTTTACTACTTTACTCATCCACCTGGTGAATTCTTATTTACCCTTCAATACCCCTCAAGCAGCACTTTCCCTGCTCTCCCGGAGTTTACCTCTCATTTTTTTTCCCAGCATTGTCATTGTGTCTTGGTGACACACCTACTATTGCATTTGCCACACTCTACTGCGTCCATTTCAGAATCAACCCAAACTACACAGAGATCAGATTGCACATTTACCTTGAGCCATGGAAGTTCCTACGTTTATTACCTGATAGCCCTTTTGCTCATCTGTATATCATTTTTGTCTCCTGCCATCAGTTCACCAGCTCTCACTCATCCTCAGCTCCTTGCTGGCTCTAGCCCTTCAGTTTGACTCATTGTTTGCCTACTTCGCCAAATCTACCTCACTGGCTACCTTTCCCGAACTCTCCCTTTTTTGACTGATAACCTAGAAATGAACCCCTTTCAGTGTGACCCTGGGGAGTGGCAGCCAGGCAGCCCTAACTGGGTGCGGCTGATCCCCCAACCTAGCTCTGGACAAGTCATACTTACTTAGTTTAGCTTTTTTATTTGGTTTCATTCAAGCTATTTCATGGGGCTAAAGAGTTATTGAAACAATAAATGTCTTGGCCTCGTGATTTGCCCGCCTCGGCCTCCCAAAGTGCTGGGATTAAAGGCGTGATCCAGACCATCCTGGCCAACATGGTGAAACCCCGTCTCTACTAAAAATACAAAAAAAAAAAAAAAAAGAAAAAAAACACTAGCCGGGCGAGGGGACACTCACTTGTGGTCCCAGCTACTCGGGAGGCTGAGGTGGAAGAATAACTTGAACCCAGGAGGCGGAGGTTGCAGTGAGCTGAGATTGTGCCACTGCACTCCAGCCTGGTGACAGAGCAAGACTCCATCTCAAAAAGAAAAAAAAAAGAAAGAAAGAAAAAAGAATAAATGTCTTAGAGAAAATAAGAAAAACTAACACCTAGGTTTAAGAAGAACAAAAACACTAATGAAGTCAGACTGCAGGCTCTGGCTCTTTACTCCCAGTGCTTCTCCGTTTTCACAACTCAGCAAACACCCAAGTAGCCCTTTCTTTCATTTACAGTTACCAACTGGCTTGTATTCTCCTCTGTATATTTCTTCCAAATTTCATAGCTTCCACTTACTCATGATGTCTTCTCCATAATTTTTATTTGCTATGACTTCATGATTCTGTCTATGCAAATGTTCAGCTTCAGCTCTTCTAAATGCCTAATTCTCTATGCGCTTCTAATTTCAGCTTCCCAAGAACAAGAAGCTTTTTGGCCCTAGTTCATCTTTCCATGTCACGTCATGAAACATCCGCTACTGGCCATCCTATAGATTGGCAGTGCTTGGGTCCAGAGCTAACCTCAACCCAATCCGCTCTAACAGAGTCACAGTGTGTCAAATCATGCAAAACTTGGCCACTTCGGCTGCCCCTTGAGCTGAGCAGAGGCTCTAAGTGAGGCATTTTCTCTTAAAAAAAAAAAAAGAACTGTGGTGGCCGGGCGCAGGGGCTCATGCCTGTAATCCCAGCACTTTGGGAGGCCAAGGTGGGCAGATTACGAGGTCAGGAGTTTGAAACCAGCCTGGCCAACATGATGAAATACCATCTTTACTAAAAATACACAAAAAATTATCCAGGCATAGTGGCGCAATCCCAGCTACTCAGGAGGCTGAGGGAGGAGAGTCACTTTAACTCGGGAGATGGAGATTGAAATGAGCTAAGATCACAACACTACGACTCCAGCCTAGGCAACAGAGTGAGAGACTGTCTCAAAAAAACAAAAAACAAAAAACCTGTGGTGTGAAAGGCCCCATGATTGAGTTAGGGATTAATTTAGACAAATGATTCCTTAATATTTGGGATCATAAATTTTTCTGAGAATCAGATGAAATATATGGATTCTTCCCCAGAAAAACTTCTCTTATGCAGAAAATTTACATATAACTTTAAGGTATTAAGGAACCCCAGCAGTTGTCCATGTAATACCCAAACCTCCGGTGGTGACCGGAGGTTTGAAGTCTATTACCTGGCACTTGATAAGAATTGTGAGTGAGAAAGGCATTTACACTCAGTGACTCCAATGCTCTTAAGCAGGGAAAATGGAAAAGTAATAGTACCCTTAGCAGAGAAGAAGAGAGAAACAGGTTTGGGGAAAATTAGTTATTCTTGAATTACTGAGTCTGAAGTGCAGGTGGGACTCTCAAGTGGATTCATAAACAAGCAACTGACAACGTGGGTGTGTAGTAGCTGAGAACTGAGATGGAGATTTGTCTCACCTGCTCAAGGCACCTGTGAGAGCAGGTGCAGGGAAGCAGTTCACACAATGCCTACAGCCCATTATTTTTCATTCGCATTTACTCTGCAGATTTTGGAGACCTTTCAAAGCCCTTACTTCATCTGACAGTCCTAACAATCTTATGAAACAGGAAAGGCCTATCTCAAGACCTATTCCAAAAAAGGAAATGGAAGTTCAAAGGGGTGGGAGACAGGTCTTGTCAAAACTATTGCAATGAACAGCTGGGCGCGGTGGCTCATGCCTGTAATCCCAGTACTTTGGGAGGCTGAGGCGGTGGATCACCTGAAGTCAGGAGTTCAAGACCAGCCTGACCAATATGGTAAAACCCTGTCTCTACTAAAAATACAAAAAAATAAAATAAAATAAAATTAGCTGGGTGTGGTGGTGTGCACCAGTAGTCCCAGCTACTTGGGAGGCTGAGACAGGAGAATTGCTTGAACCCGGGAGGTGGACGTTGCAGTGAGCCAAGATTGTGCCACTGCACTCCAGCCTGGGTGAAAGAGTGAGACTTCCTCTAAAAAAAAATAAAAATAAAAATAAAAACTATTGCAATGAAGTAACAGACACAGGACTGGAACCCAGGGCTTCTGATTCTTAATACAACTCCCAATTTTGTTGCAAACTGCACACAGATAAATGCCTTATTAGCATGGATCAATTTCTAAATGCAGTAGTTTCGGTTTTTGTCTTTTTGGCTGTCCTCAGTTTATAGAAAAGTTTGAGAAAGAGGAGTGGCAATTATCCCTTGACAATTATCCCCAATAATCCCCTGGCAATTGATTTGGCAATACTCACCACTATTTACTGTTAAATATCTTCCGTGTGGAGCAATAGACAGCCCCGGCTCCTAGGAACTTGTCTACAATTCTGATCCATACTCTAACACTGGTGGTTTTATTTTTTGTTTTTGTTTGTTTTTTGTTTTTAGAGACGTTGTTTCGCTCTTGTTGCCAGGCAACTGGAGTGCAATGGTGCAATCTCGGCTTACTGCAACCTCTACCTCCCGGGTTCCAGTGATACTCCTGCCTCAGCCTCCCAAGTAGTTGGTATTATAGGCATGTGCCACCACGCCCGGCTAATTTTGTATTTTTAGTAGAGACGGGGGTTTTACCATGTTGGTCAGGCTGGTCTTGAACTCCTGACCTCAAGTGATCCACCCGCCTCGGCCTACCAAAGAGCTGGGATTACAGGCGTGAGCCACCGCGCCTGGCCCACTCTTGTTTTTAAAAAGGACCTTTCTGCCTATCTAACCTAAAGACCCAGAATGAGCTCATACATTGTTAAGACCCACAGACATGGACAGACTTCCCGAAGACTACTGGGCAAAACTTGTAATTCTGAAGTCAAAAATCTTCAAGATTCACAGGACGTTGCGGGAAGGGGGACGCCGGGGGAAGAGGAGGAAGAAGAGGGAAAGGAGGGAGAGGGAGACTGGTTGAACCTCTGGAGCGGAAGGTGGGTTCCTGTGAGTCTTGAGGCGCAGCTCTGCGGTTAGCGCAGGCCGCGGTCCCACGCCCAGCCCGGGAGGCGAGGCGGGGCGAGGAGGCGAGGCGGGGCCGGGCGGCGCGGGGGCCGGCTGAGTAAGGCTGGGCCGGGCTGGGCCCGGAAGGGCGTGGGTCGGGGAGAGGCTCCAGACCCGCACGCCGGGCGCCCAGAGCTCTCAGCGCCGGTCCCAGCTGCAGCCTCCCGCGCGCCTCGCCCAGCTCCAACATGGTAGGCCTCACTTTTCTTCTTCTTCTTATATGAAAAGAAAAAGAAAAAAAACCCAAATACTTTCAGGCAGACTTTATCTTTGACTTAACGTGTGGACGTGGCAGGAAACAGCAGGAAAAATCAGCCTCGAGGGAGGGAACTGGGGAAGAGGGGCTGGAAGGAATAAGCCCCAAAATCATCCCTGTGGTGACCGCCTAGGGTGGCAGCGGAGGTTCTCTGGCCTTCCCCAGTCGCGATGAGGTCCGGGGCCGGGAAGCGCCGGCCGCTCTCCGCGCGGGGGCGGGGGCGGAGGAGAGGGAAGGTGCCTGCAGCCCCCTCGCCCATGGTCTCCCAGGAGCACGAGGACGCCTGGGAGCAAGCTGAAGGCCGGGGGATGGAAAGCTGCGAGGGGTCATTAGTTATTTCTGTAGTCCAGAAAAAGGACATTTCTGAACTTGGTCGTCTAGCAACGGGGAAAAAAATCAAAGTTTCAGTTAGCAGCCGGCAGACGGCCAAGACCCAACGGGACTGAAACTTTAGCGCGTCGCCGCCTGCAGCGCCGCGGCCAGGAATTTGGGAGGAACCCGGTCCCAGCTGAGCACCCTCCTCCTTCGTCTTCCTTTTACCCCACCATCTTTGTAGGCAGTCACTGCATAACTTAGTTTTCGCTTCTCATCTCCTTTCATCTCCCCGTTGAACTCATATTTTCCATAAATACACCTCCAAAATCTACCTTTCTTTACCTCTCCTTAGTGAAGAGAGTCAGCAAACTTTGGCCCACAGGCCAAAGCGGGTTTTCTGTTCTGCGCACAAACTAAAAATAAAGTTTACGTTTGTAAATGGTTGAAAGAAATCAAAAGAAGAAAAATACTTTCTGGCATGTGAAAACTGTGGAAATCAAACTTAAGCGTCCATAGATGAAGTAGTGGAGCTCCGCCACGCCTGTCCCTTTCCTTCCATAGTGTCTCGGGTTCCAGTCCTGCTACAGCAGGGACGGAAAGCTCAGAGGGTGTCGGTTAAGAATGAGAAAACAGTTGAAGTTTTTTAAATTGCTACTTCTTTTTCATTGTAGTTTTTTTCTTTCCTCAAATGTTGAGTGCTTGGCTTGCATTTTAAAAATTATTTCACAGTATTCGTTTATCATAATGTTCTCTCCTTGTTATCGCCATCTCCACCAAATAAGACTCCAAGGGTGCTGTGAGGTGTGCAGAGCGCCGGCTCCCCTCTCCTTCAGCTACTGCGCCACCCTGGGCAGAGCCTTCCGGTCTCTGGGCGTCCTCAGGACCCATCTCCAAAGTGCCCTGGAGCTCTGCAAATGATGTCATTCCATTTCAGTAATTCGATAATTGTGTTTCTTTCTTTTGCTTTGGAGAATTATACCTCGGAGGGGAATGCAAAGAGGTTTTAATTTTCTCCTTGTGGCTGATAGCAACAGCAACAGTTTTCAAAAGAAAATAATCTCTAAATACCATCTAGACTGATGTTAAGGAGAGAAAAACGTGAAGCAGAAAGGCATTTTGAAACTGGAAAAGCAAAACTGTCTGCATTCTGCAAGGAAAAGGGGCAGGGGGAGAATCTGTAGTTCCAGAGAAAGGTGACAAAGCCCAAACTCCTCACCCTGGTGTGGCCTCCCACCCAGCCTCCTTCCTGTCATCTAATACCTTAGTAAAACGGGGAGATTTCAGTCCTGATAGGAAGGGCATGTTGTAACAAACACATCTGTTTCTAGGCTGTGGTATTTTGTTTCTCTCCTAAAGGCCACCGAACTACTAACGCTTTTCTTTTTTCTTAAGGAGAAGTTCAATTTAGGGCAAAACAATCATCCTCCAACAATGTGACTCTTGGGAAAAAGTCCACCTCTGTTAGGATTCCGGGGTTCTAATGTTCTAAGATGCAATTGGAAGAAGAATCTTAGCTAGGGTCTCTGTAGCATAAGGGCTGCACAGGAAGGAGGGACCAACCTGCAGCTGTGCAGCTAAATGCTCAGATCAGTTCTTAGCACGTGTTAATTACGGAATGTGAAAGCCTTTAGCTCTGGGCTCCAGGAAGTCCATCGTAAGAACAAATCGAAAGTTAAATGCCAAGTTGCAAAGGCCACCAAACATAAATCATTGTTAATGCTGAGAGGTGAAGTCTCAGAGGAAGGGTGTGGCCAGGCCGGTCTCCCGGAAAGTCTGTAATTGCGGCTTCTATCCACCAGAGGGAGCCCAACAGCTCCTCACTTTGGAATTCCAAGTCCCTGCTGGAATTACTGGATGACTGGGCCCTATAGAAATTCCTTTCAGGATTCTGCCGTGAGGAAAGAGCCCAGTACAGGATTTAAATATCTTACATTGTACATGCTGTGTAAGCAGCAACCTGAGAGCCTCCATATGAACCTCGCTGGTCTGGAGTGACCTCCAGAGAAGCTCCACCTTCTCTGTCACTATTTCCCACCAGGAAGTGGAAGCCTCCAAGGCTAAGGACTGCAGAAAGGGACTGGGAGTCCCAGATTCTAGGGCTGGCGCTGCCATATCCATTCTCTTCTCCTGTCCATTTTCTCACGTTTAAGATTAATGGTTCCTAACTCTGAAATATGAAAGCCATTTTCAAGCATCTAAAAAGTTCTATCTCCCACTGCATATACAATGATAGCTATGCTTTTAGTTTTCTCTAAGGAAATGTGTGAGTCCCAGGAATTCAGTATTACTTTAAAAAGAACTGACATTTCATTAGTCACAAAAGCCTCCATACCATCTTGGAAAATAGCAAATTATTAGCCTATGGACAGTGTTTGGTGTGCATATGGAT